TAAGGCATGTAACTCTTTCAATTTCACAAACGTACAAGAAAATCAATCTCATTACTCATGATCTGTGGTTCCGCCAGAAGTGGCATTACGAACCCATTATCAACCTCCGGTCCCCGATCTGCTTACGCAATAGACGCATCATTAGAAAAAGGCTATCAATTCCCAAAGTTATTTGTTACAAGGGAAAAACCGCCAAATGGGTCTGTAATTTCTACCTCGTATTACAAAACTAGTCTCATTGACTTAAACCTTACTATTTGGACTTCACTATTTTCTAACACAAAATAGCCTTTGGAATAGCTTACAAATGGAAGAACTGATAACTGCGAAATAACTATTCTTTTTAAAAATTTTTACTTTGATTAATTGCTTAAAGAATTAAACCACATATTAATATAATTAATGTTTTAAACTAATTGTTTAGTTTCCAATCCTAAAGAGTAAAGTGATTCAGACTAAACTATCATACCTTCTTTTTTTGGCACTCTTTCCTGCATAGGCCTGACTGAGGGGTCAGTCTTTTGTGTTAAAGTTACTTCATATGACTCTCTGTTCTTATTCCTTAATTCCTCATATGTAACACTCTTTCTTTTAGGACTTTCTTCAAGGTTGGGATCAGGTCCTAAAACAACAAACAGTTAATAAGTGGCGATAAAAAAGGATTTGGATAAATCCAAAGCAAATTTTACAAATGTTCTTTATCCTACAATCGAAATAGAATAAAGTGAAATAAAGGATCAAATTATTACCATTATTCCGAAGGTACTATACTTTCCTGTAATTATAAAACTAAAATCTACTTCCTCTTACACTTTTAAAAGCTTTTATTTCTAAAAATAGAAATCAACATCAAAAATTTTAAAAACTAAAATGGGTAGAAGAATGGGTATCATAATATATAACAGTAGCATTTAAACTCATCAAAATGCTAGTATCTTAAAGTAGAAAGTTTTTCATACTGTATATGGAATTAAAGAGAAATAATCTACTTCCTCTTACACTTTTAAAAGCTTTTATTTCTAAAAATAGAAATCAACATCAAAAATTTTAAAAACTAAAATGGGTAAAAGAATGGGTATCATAATATGTAACAGTAGCATTTAAACTCATCAAAATGCTAGTATCTTAAAGTAGAAAGTTTTTCATACTGTATATGGAATTAAAGAGAAATATATTCTACTGGTGGCAACTGAATATAACTTGACACAG